ATTGTATTGTGTTTTCTTTATGGAAGTAAATGTATGCTGTTTAAAAACCTCGCGATTGCTGAGCAAGAAAACGACACATTTAACATTATTATTAAAGATAGATGGGCCGGTCACATAATGAGAAGAACAGACGACAGATGGACGGAAAGAAATGTAGAGTGACCACCACCGTGGACGACGATTGTGAGGAAAAGAAACGAATGGCAAATGTGCTAAGAATCCGCACAACTCGTGAGGACGGACTATCCAAGTATCCAAGTAAGTAAGTTTAAAATTATTGACCCAACAAGTTCCAGTAGTAGATGTCTCAGTAGTCACGCATTAAACGCTATTAATAAAATATCTTACATGCTTTTAAAAGTAGAGCTATCTAGTGTTATATGACCTAAATTTCTATCTTTCAGCAACGTTGAGGTATGTCAGAACGTTCGAGGATGAGTAATGGGTGTCCCAGAAATAGCGCACCAATCAATAACACGTGTACCGGATATCATATTTCTGAATGACTCATCGGCGATGGCGAACAAGTGTGGTGGCATTTCAGCGCGTCGTTTATTCACGTACATCGCCACCACTGAGTCCGTGTAGATCGGCAGCAGTTTGTACGGATTGATAAAGACGCAAAACAGTCCAGAATAGGTCTGAAAAATAAACAACTTGTTCTTCGTGTAAAACGCCATGAGAAGTAATATAAAGCTTCCTTTAATTTACTGCCTACTAGAATTTTTTGCGACAGGGTATTACGTGTGATACAACCACAACGATGCTGAGATATCTGCAAAACTCCGGACCGCAGGTGAACGAACGCGTTATTACGCTTTCTGGGGGCTAACATGTTCACCACCACACCATAAAATAATATAGCGGTTTTACGAAGGCTAATTGAAGGAAAATTGGAAAAAGGAAACGTTTAGGAACGAGGAAGAAATTTATTCAACCAGAAAGAAGCAACAAGAACAAATTTCGACATAATGAAGTCGTTGAGAAAAGGTGAGGAACACGACGATTCTCCAAAAATGCACGAATTTTTTTTATAAATCTTCTTTCATTCATTTAGATTTTTTAGAAGCAACTTAAAATCATCGCTAACAAACAGGATCCAATGATCAAGAGGAAAATCAAAAAGTCCTTTAACTTCCAAAGACACTACGGATTCTTAAAACCAAGAAATGTTTGAATTCAGTTGAATCTAGAAACTCCTAGAAAGGAAATAGAAATTGTGGAACGGTGATTTCATGCACAAAAATTTTACAGTGAAAACCCGCAAAACTATAAGCTCTCTAACACCTAAAAACTTCTGTTTTCGTAAATGCTTCATTTAAAAAAGTCCAGGCAATGCGAGAAACATTTTAACAATCACAACCACGACGATGCCGAGATATTCGCGAAACGTGGACCCCAGACCAGATCGAACCGCAATTTTCGTTTCCGGGGGCTCGCACATTACACACTGCGCTATAGAGGCCCATGCAGAATGTTTCTCTCAGCTAGTTCTACCCAACACTGCCAACAGAAATTTTGTGAATATTTCAGCATCGTTGTGGTTGTAATTCACATCATACCCTACCGTGAAAAATGTAGTAAGCAGTAAATAAGGAGACAAACATTGTGATTCTAACAAATGTTTATTTACGAATATATGCAGAAATACTGCAGTAAATAGAGGGTAAACTCACATAAATCATCATTGAGTAGTACCTCTGCCGAAGATTATGCAACACCGAGGCCTCATTGAGGAACGTCAGATTCGACATGTCCTCAGTTTTTTCGAACTTCGCCGGATTGATCTCTTGACATTCACTTTTGTCGAGTTTCTTCTTAAAAAAAACATTTTTTCTGCCAGTTTAGGTGAAATACTGGGAAGCAAAAAGCCCACTTAACAAAATTTAAGAAAAAAAGTTCCAAAAACTTAATTGATTGCCACCTGCGAGTTTGCTACTTGTTATCCTCGAATTTGATTTGGTATTTCATAGAACCCGAACATTGAAGAATACATTCAAATATCGATTACTGCTTCACGTTACAACAGATGACCGCAAAGGCTACTGTATCGCTTACCGTACTCCCATCTGGCATACCGACGGTGTAGCTGTCGCCTTCATGAACATTGATGGACGCGATTACGAAACCATCGACAGGGTCGGGAACCCATTTATGAGTTCTGTTATCGAATCGGCGAGCCGTCTGATCCTATAACAGTTTCGGATTCTCTTAGACTCCTTGAAATCTGCGTTGTATATTTGCCTAAGGTGTCTAAAAAAGTGACATACGCTGGCTTTTTCTCAGCACAAACATGTTCAAACAAGATTCATTTAAATCAATCCTTGACCGCTTTAATGAAAAAATTCCTTCAAGAACCTCTTGTTTTATGGTCAGAATTAAAATTCTACGTTCAAATAGGATCAAAGTCAGTTTTCAGCACCAACTGCCTTAAGTTAACAGATATTGAGTGTTTTACATTGTTTTCTTCACTATAATTTATCACTTATGATCGATACAAAGTATGAATGCCAAAGATTATTGATTGATACGAAATGAAAGAAAATCTCAGAAACGTAGTCAATCTCTACCTGTAACTGCTGGTCTTCTGCTTGTCTTAGATATGGCCAGCCTGGATCAAGCATGTAGTCGAGCTGCATCATGTCGCTCGCACGGTCCTCTCGTCACTAAACATCGACTCCATCTCCTCATCTAACAGCCCCCTCCCCCAGCCAGCTTTGCTCTCTAGGCGCAAGAAAAAACCAGCTCAGATCGGATTCCTGGTTGGCTGATCCATCTCTCATCTCTCAAATGAACGACAAAGTATACAGAGAACCACATAGCTGATCTTTCATCTCGAGAAGATGATGTAGTCAAACTGATGAGCGGTTAAAATCATGCCCACTAGGTTTCATGCCAGTTTATTCAACAATTTTCCACATGACTGAGCTGAAATGAGGTTAGTATAAAAACTTTTATGCCGCTAATCTTTCAGCGTCTTCGCCTTCTTCGAGTTGATTCTAGTCGATGTTCCCAAACTGGTCGCCGTCGCGATGTGGATGCTCATAGTCTGCCGGTTTGTTTATCATGAGTTTCTTCTAAAAAGTAGAATTAAAATTTTCTTCAGCAGCTTGTAAAATAATGTAAAGTGATTATTGAAAGTATTATTAAATTTGTGGTGATAGAGTTAGCTGCATCGCCTATATCCAAATATTTTTTTTACATAAACATCTACTGTTTTTTATCTCCTATTGGAGATGAACGCGTGTGGCGCAGCAGTCAGAGGCACCATGCGACACACACTGAGATCGACTCTGCGCCCGTGGCTCGCCAAGCGTTCCATAGCTCGAGGGTCAAAAACTTGGTACCACTGTTATCTGGGATGATAGCGGGACAGTACATCAGTAGGCCACCGCACTTCTTTGTAAATGCCAGATATGCATTCAATCACCTCTAACGATGCTTAATGAAGTCGAATGCATGGCACATTCCTCAGGGATTGATCAACGCCGAGAGCTCTATCCTTTTTTTTATTGGAAAAACTATATAGCGTTTTGAGAGAGCGTTTATATGCGCTTTAATACAACATGCCGAGCCCTTTGCACAGCTCTCCAAGCATTATTTGCACAATGATTCCATGCTTTTCGTCATGGTAGGATGTCAGAAAACTGTGCGGTGTTTGTAGTTTTTGTGAAGCTAACGCACTGAAATAACATTTATTGGAAGAGGATCGGACGAATACGGCGAATACTCAAGGGAATTTTGTTGACATTCACGAGGACAACACAGAACCCTCTTTGGTGTTAATCGTTCCAATGATCCTGCATTCTATTCATATGAATCATACACGTTTTGACCAAACAAGGAGCGTATGTGGCGCAGTGGTCGGAGGCGCCCCGCAACACACACGTGGGATCAATTCCCGCTCCCGTGGCTCACCAAGCTTTCCACTACTCCGAGGTCGGCAAATTGGTACGAGACTTGTCTGGAAGGATAGCAGCATTGGCTCGATACATTGATTGGCCACCGCGAGTCATTGCACAGGCCAGATATGTATTCAAATCGTCCCCAAATGATGCATAATGAAGTCGAATGCATGGCGCATCCCTCATGGATTGATCAACGCCGAAAGCCTTATCATTTATCATTTTTTTGACTAAACATACTAAAGAATAGCCAGTAAGCACAACTTGTGTGGAAAATCTTGCATAACCTGTTTTCGCCAGCATAAATCGGCAGTTCTCTTACGTCGCCTATTTTGTTTTTCCCTTATCACTATTACTTGGTTTTGAATATTTGTGTGATCTTTCTATGCAAGCAGTCGTGCGGGTCTTAAATTAACATAGTTTCTACTCGTTTAACAAGTTGATGACTAGCTCAGCTTCATGAAATTTGCACTTGATCTTTTCTAATTAGCCATCACCCAATGTTGTTGTCGAGATGTCAGTGATTCGTGGCTGCAGTTTACTTTTAGCTAGGCTTCGAGAAAGAAATATAGAAGCACTTTTCAGCTCTGAAAATCTGGCAGGATCAGCTTTTCAAGATTTACTGCACATCGCATTTCGACTCCTAGGAACACCCACAGCTAAGATTTGTGCAAACAGAAAATACTTCGTTGTGTTGTTTATCTTAGCACATTGGCAGCGCTCTGCCGACCTACTGATGGGTTGCTCGCAATTGTCAGAGTATCACAAAGTGGTGTAGTTGTGTGTACTTGTCAACGAGGACAGCATGCTCGCCTGATAGCTTCAACGAAGAAGGACTGAAACCGTCCAAGAATCTTGAAAATCGGCTATCATTAGACCATAGCAGGAATAATGAATAGTTTTCTATGTGACGCCCGCACAAGGACGAGCACAAGACTATTCTTCAAATTTCTGTTATCCAAACAATCTTGACGTTAACTCTTTTAAACATGCAGTCTATTACAATTTTTACGGCTGGGTATTATGTGTGATAAAGCCACAATGATGCTGAAATATTTATATCTATCTTGGCTTTTCTGTTCACAGTGGTTTTCATATATGTTGCATGTAGCAGTCATTGTGACATTGATCACGGACCGAAAAAACGGGTACGTTCTATCGTACTGCATCTGTTTTACGCCTCAAAAATTCAAAAGCCTATGTCAACATGGTAGGAATATACCGTCTACAAAGCTCCAATAAGATGAAGGATAAATCTCCAGCGTTGATCAATCCATGACGCATGCGCCACACATGCGCCTTCATTAAGCATCGTTAGAGGTGAATGAATGCATATCCTGTCTCTACAATTGCTCGCCATGCTCTACCAATGTATCAAGTCGGTGCTGCTATCCTCTCTACTATTCTGGTACCAATTTGCCAACGCCGGAGCGATGGAAGGGTTAATGAGCCTGGGGCGAGGGATCGATCCCACGTGTATTGCAGGGCGCCTCCGACACATGCGATATACGTGCCCCTTGAACCGCCTATAACAATAATGATACAACAATAACGATATACCAATACCGATAGAATAGAAAAGACAAAGCGGTAACAAGGATGAATAAGTGATTTAAAGATAATGGGAGAGGGGTAATCCTCGAGACAGTAGAGCAGCTCTGCCGCAGATTGGTGGCGTGATATGATATGCGAGTGTGATATAGAATAGAACAACACAGCATAAGAAGTGTACACACTACAATGCTCGTGTGAGATAATAACAGCGGTGCGATGAGCTCCATTAATGCGCAAAAGGGGTAGGTAGTACCAAGGCCACTATGATGTTCTAAGAAAGAGTTGCACTTCATCACATATGCTCCTTTAAACAATGCACTAACAAGACTTATTCATATTTCACCAATTTCCCACAAACAGTGCCAAACTAGAGCACAACAGACAACACTTACTACAACATTTACAAGAACAATATTTACAGATAGATGATGGTAGAAAATAACAGCTCCAACATTTTGTTGGCCAAGTGACAAAGAAGAAATACCCTTCCCAGGACCTTCAGATATAAAAACATCTGTGACATTGCGCAATAAAAACATAAATAACAACAAAACAAGATCAAAACAAATATCATACAGAATAAATATGGAGATTAAAATAAGAACAGATATCGACAGTATTGCAGCAAACGAAGTGAACACAGAAGCGAAAACCACAAGAGAAAATCTGAAATGACAAAAAGGAACTCCGCTGTGAGTAACTTCTTAGCCTTTTCTCAATTTCTGAACTGATTAACACAGCACCAATTTTTTCACGCCAAGTTCCCAGGTTGGAGCTTAAGAGGACGAAATCGACCTACATTTAACAACAACAAACACCCTATGTTTTCAACCTCGATTTCTAAAGTTCACCAACGGAATGGAATAAGACAATGGACAATTACGTGGACTATGAAGCTTAAAACTGAGTTAAGGTTATATTGACCCAAGCAATCTTCTGACCTATATAACTCCTCCACGCTACGAACAAAAGATCATTCCTCACTTGGGCTAACAAGTATACGACAACCGCACACCATCATTAAGGAAACATGGATGTAATAACGAATTTTACTACGTGAAGCCAATCCTTGGAATAGCTCCAGAGTAAAAATTTTGACTACAAGAATATACGGCATTTACAAGACTATATTTAAAAACCAGTTCAACCCTTTCAAGCTCCAACGACTGATATGTAACTGCCACCAATGTTTCATTTGCTCCGGCAATCTGGAGGAGTGACCTAAGCCGAGACAATTCATTGCACGTAACCTAATAGACTATGTGAAAAACAAGTAATATGTACTGCTAAGTAAGTAAGCTTACCTTTCCACATTTTGCCACACCAGGAGCTTTCGCACCTGGCGGCGTGTCATGCGAGTCCTAAAAGAAAGAATCCATCGCTAGTGATAAGCATTGAACAAGATTACATAAGGAATTATTCTTCACTCACATTAACCGGATCCTTAATAGGCGGTGTGGAGACTTTCATCACTAGCGTACTAGCCTGAAACGCGCCATAGATATCAATGGGTTACAACTTTGTGAAAAAAGACAACGTACAGAGGTATCACTCCCAGAACGCTCATGAATAGCTTCATCTCGCTCTGTTTTTGGTACAGCATGTCGAAGACGGCGTAAACGCCTTGGGTAATTCTCAGCGGGTGAAGTGGAATCGGAGCTTCCTAAGCCTGCAACTGAACTAAAGTCACCTGTCACACCTATTAAGTGACAACATCCTCATTAATGTCCACATAAGGAAGTTGTACCCACTAGCTGTCCACTGAACATTTAAGCGTTGTGCATAAACAGTACTAATTTACTTATGTCTGGCTAATTTAAATATAGACGTGTAAGCAAGAAAAATAACGGTATCACTAACTTAGTCTACCTAATTTGCTGGAATCCGAGTCTAGAATTCTGGCCGACGAGTGACTTCGTGTTTTATCAACAATCCCAACCACTTTCCGAGCCATTTCGACAGTTTTAAACTTAAAATTTAATCTGTTAGAACAGCAAGGAATATAAAGCAAGAAAATCAACTACCGCCTTACAACACAATCCGCACTAACTGTATCAACCATCATGTCGCTAATTATCGAACGACTGAAATGCCTGCATAACGGTGATCTGGGAAATCAGTTCCCCACTTAAAGTCAATGAATAGCACTGTACTTTTCTCTCAGTCATTTCAAGGAAGTCGAAACACAGTGCCATTTATTCCACAGATCGCGGTTTAACATCGCATAAAACTAAGTTCTTGTACGATTCTTATCTATCAGATGTTGCTATGATGCATTCTACAATACTATTCCGAACTGTTAATCCTACCCCTCACGTCTTGAGGTATGCTTCCAAAACCACGCCCTCCAAAGCAGGACCTATGATAGTGTCTGGTCTTCCATCCTGCATGCACAGCGTTCCGATTTCCGAAGGAGACAAAAGGACAAAAATAAGTGTGAACTTGAGATGTGCATGCACGTTGTTCTTGATATTAATCATACATCTTCAGAACACTTGAAGATTCGCTTCTTTTGCTCAACTCCTATGAAAAAATCCATTGCGTTAATCTGCTGACCGAGATATAAACAGTTAGCAAAATCGAAAATATCTATTTCGCTGAGTGTATATGAGTGATCAGAAACTTAATTGTTCTCCACGAACATAGCTTTGTTGACACTCATTCAGATTCAGTGATTTTACAGAAATACTCATCTTTATACACCGATTTTTCAAACTGGTCAACTTTTGCGTGTTCATGTTTCGTTTAATCCATACTTGGTGCTACAAGTATGGATTAAGACAACAAGCGAATATGATGTAGCTCACTACCGCTGGATCCACTCTTACATTTATTAATCCAGGTCTTCACATGATGGTACTAAATGGATTTGTCGATCAAGCACATCGCATTTTCAGAACCATCTTTAAAGTGAAGAATACTGTTGTAAAATGGCACAGTTCTGATTATGAAATTACTTTATAACGCTTAAGCGATCCCTATGCACTGAAGATAAAACCATCGTCGTCCAAAGCTTCTAAGACAACTATGGTCTTAATTGTAGGCCGAGTTTAAGTAATGAAAAAGGTACATAGCGACACTTTGACCTGTTACCATATCGCATGCGATATGATCCATCGTCCTGAATCTTTTTCCAAACAATTATTCGCATCTCTCTCATTCGTTCGCTACTGTTAATTTAGCGCTGAATTTCTAAGAGGAAATATTCATAAACTATACACTATAATCACGAGCGGCAGTTGATGAAGGTGGTCACATCTTCCCTATTGTACACAATACTGTCCCAGTTTTTTTTCTAGTGTATTCTAGGAAATTTAATGAATTCTTTGTAAATGCTTCATCAGTGACCTGTCATGTCGTTAACCATAGAGAAGAGCAACGAAACCGAATAATGACCAATCTTGGGGTGGTATAACGGTACAGTACACGAACGTGGATGTCAATGGGATCAAAGTATCACACACGCTGCAATGATGCAAACTGCCTTTCTGGGTGAATTATAAGTCTTGTTTGCGTCTCACGAGTACCTTATCTCAATGACTGCCGGTGAGAATTGTGAACTCTTTCCAAACTGTGGAATCCAATGAGCACTGATGCGCTCACATTTTCAAGGTCATCTCTTACTGTTCATTTTTATACTTAATTCCCCAAGTTAGAACGCAAGTTAGCATATAAGTACCTATAACACGTAGAATTAAAAGGAAATTATCAGCGGAACTTTCCTGATACTTCCGATAGAATCATCAGATGCTTATACAAGCCAGTAATGCCATTGAAGCCGAGACATTCATGGTGTGCGTTCTTGTGCATAATTCTCCCACATCAATAGAAAAGACAATTTAGCCTCCACTATACTGTCGAAGTAACCAGCTGTCCACGCCTTCTCAAACGTAAACATTCGACATGGGTTTTTGCTCAAAACGACTTCCCCTTTTTCCTGATAAAGCTTATGCCCACGAACATATTAAGTTCGCATGTTCGAAAGAACGGTTCCTTCCCAGCATTAAGTTCCAAGGAGAGATTCGGCTAATTCTGTACAAGTGTTCCGTTCTACCAAATATTTCTATATCCACGGCTCATTCACGGCAATGGGATTAAGACCCTTCAACTTCAACGAACTTACACAGAAATGCATGGATTTGAAGAGTAGGAGGAAGATGTAGGTTATTCCATTCGAAATGACAGAGCCCATTCGTTCAATCCAGCTGCTATTCAAGATTTATACAAAGGAAATTTCCACAGCATTACGTACGCTAGTCAAGGATAAATCCTCCCAACGGCTTATCGCCTCATCGTGATTGGGGGGTGTCCCTGGGTGTCGCACTGCGATATACAGCAAGGAGATCATTAGGAAGCCTAGCTAAGAGTAAACCAATACCAGGATGCACCACCATCCTGGTTTCAAAGTCGCATGGTGGTAAATCTCCCCCTGATCCACAGGAGCTGCGGCTGCCTGCCGTGGTGACGAACTGGGGCAGATTTTGGCCAGGCTGTCCTCGGGATTCCAGAGAACCACAATGGCTTAACTAGCAAGTCTCCGAAAACGGAGATTGTGCTGGAGCCCGCACAACCAGTGAGGACGGGTCATTCAAGTATCAAGCAAATCAAGGATGGACCACGCAGCTGCGAAGTTAACTAACTACACATCGCCTAAATATAAATTCGAGCCCTTAAAGCGACTAACCTGCAAATACAGCATAAATCTTGTAAGTAACCTGCTGTAGCGCTGTCTCACTGATGCGCTCGATTGTGTCATTGTTGACAGATCGATGCGATCCATCATCTGCATCCGATTCATCACCAAATGAGTCATTTAGAGAATCATCGAGATTACACAATTTCAGCCGTTCCTTGAGCCTCATTTTCAAGGTATATTCATCATCTATGAACACACTTCGCACTATGACTGAGGCTCTAAAATTTGTAGCTGAACTTAAGAAACTTCGATAAAATGCAAAAATACAAGGACACAGTCACGTACCCGTGATATTTGGTTTGTAATGATGCAAGTTCCACTTGCCGAGCATCAGGCCGCAAAACAGGTTCTTCGGGAGAACGGTAAAAGCCTGGTGCCTGATAGCCCTTTGGAGTTCCTGTATGTTTAGGAGTAACAGAGAATAAATATGCTATAACTACATTTAACTGCAGGTATGTAACCGTTTTGATACTGTGCATTTTGAAAAATATATATTCTCGATACCAGTTTGGTGTGAACGATTTCAATAAAAAATGAACCAACTGTCAGTGTATGATATGCGAATCACAGGTGAGGCGCCAGCTGGTAGTGGAGTTAGCGTGTCTCGACATAATACTCTCAGCAAAAGCAGAAGCTCTGTTGTCTGCCTTTTCAGGTACTGTAAACCTCTGAATCGAAGCGCTACCATTACAGTTCCATCGGGTCTGGAACAGTGATTCAGTGTACTTTCTCAACTATGACGAACAGTCATCAAAAACATACTGCCGCAATTCGGCTTGTGGTTCACCATCCACATCGTAACGCATTCTCCAAGTGTACATTTCAATCGCATCATTAACATTATCTTTCGTGGGACTGACGACAAGCGTCAGCTCACGAAGGTAGCATTGTTCAATAGCATCCGTGACTCCTTTAAATTTCTGTACAAGACGGGCTCCCAAAATTTCAGACGAATTCATGACATATGCACGAAGTTTACCTGCAATTTCCTTTTTCGAGAATAAAGAATTAGTCGTCTCCGAGAACCTTCATTTCACCAAAACCGAAATTTTGAGGTAAGTAGAACAATTTACATACATCCGTTACCACTTATTTTTGCATCAGGAGTAAACCTTTTCATGTTTCGGGAACTGCAACATCTACGAACACGGCGACTATTATGTTAGGCTGCGATGAACAGACCGCAGTGGAACTCATCGGAACTATATGTAGGTATATATACATAATGTATACATATATATGTATATACATATACATATATACATATATATACGTATAGGTTTGTATATGGTTCTCCCAACGGTGTACTGCCTCATCGTGGTTGGGAGGTGTTCCTGGGTGTCAGGATGCGATGAACAGACAGCAAGGGGACTCATGCCAGGGTCTCCTAGGCTGAGAAGAAGCCCGGCGTTTCCATCGAGAATCCTAGCTAAGAGTAAATCAGTACCAGTACCAGGATTCACCACTGTCCTAGTACCAAACTAGTCGCATCGTGGCAAATCTCCCCTTCATCCACAAGGGCAGCGACTGCATGGGTTGGTCACGACCTGTGGAAAACCTTGGCCTTGTTGACCTTGGGACTCCAGGGAACCACAATGGCCTGACCACCGAAACTCCAAAAAATGAAGATAATGCTGTGGCTCGCACAACCAGTGAGGACGAGCCATCCATGTACTCGAGTAAGGAAGTATATATGACACCCAAATAGAGTATGTTGAAAGTTTACATATTTTACATTAAGGTTATTTTACGCTATGGACTTCTTTAAACGTAGAAGATGATATAACAGATGATATATAACATATAAGATGATTAAAATAGATGATATAACAAAACTGATATTTATAGAACATACGATGAATATTCCTTTTCTTGAAAACGTTTTGTGGAAGCAATCTTCGACTGGCGAGTATGTGGGAGAAGGAGATGTATATGCATCGCGAGATGAACATGGTAGACCGAGAAACATTGCCAATGTCATCAGGAAACGTAGCAGCCCACTGAAGACATAGTTTATTTCGTATACCTAATGCTGCGTTGATGTGAACTTTTGAAACATGGTTTGCTCTTGATTAAAATACTATGTCCGCCGTCATACCTATCACAAAAAATTTTCGATGGTTGATTCTATTGAACTGGCCATATTTAGCACTTTCTCGGAAAACGCGTGGGATAAACATGAAGCAAACACCTATTTGCAAGTGTTTTGATGGGTTTGATTCCTTAAAGTCCAGTTCCCTAAGACTGCCAGTGGCTTACATGAGAAACTAACGCAACTGAACAAATAGATTTGCACTTTGCAAAAGCTTAACAAAGTCTGGGTTTGCCTAGTTGTTTCTACAACACCATAGCGAACTTTTGCAAAGCTTACCCGATAATGTGAGTTTCCTATTCAGTGAGCTGCTGTCATACACAAAAAGTTCAGCTGTTTTTCTAAGACAATGTATCATGCCAGAAAAATGTACCCCAACACGTCATAAATTTACCGAGTGCCTGTCAATTTCCCTCTTCTGTACAACTGCACCTGGTTTCGTGGCAAATGGAGGCATGGTTCTTCAGCACTAAGCAATGGATGTGTCACGGTTCACAATTTGTGCTGAAAATACTACATATGACATGTATATCGATCGTTAGACCAAATCAATAACAAGTAGTACGGAGATGTCTTGCTCTACATCAAATCACTAAGGAATTTGATAAAAATGAATCGCATTTGTTACAAGTACGACAAACAGTAGTGCGAGCAGTCGCCAGAACGCGCAACAATTTTAGGCCAAAACGGTCCGGAGACGAGACCACATGATGGGCAGCTAAGAAGCCTGCGTAGAAGCGGGCGCGAAATTTGAACTTGAATATGTCAAGATCAATTGGAGCGGCCTTACCATCGAGCGCAAGTTGTTCTACTCATCCTTACCATCGTGTCCAGATTCTTGTTAGCTCTCACTACTGATTGAAAAAGTAACTGAAAAAGTAGTAAATTAAGGAAGTTCCATACTGAACATGTGGAAGTAAATGAACCGTAAATGCACTGTGTCTCTTAGTTTAAAATTGGGAGACCCTAATGCGATCTTTCTGACAGGTGCTAGATGCTGTGTTTGATATACGTCGTGGAAGCCGGCTGATTTAGTTGACATGACACTGGGTTTTATCAAGTTCTAACTACTGATAGGGAGAAAAAGCTTACTCACTTGAGGTTTCGAAAACTATTAATGTTGTAGGACAAATTTTTCCCTGGAATTTTACGAAATGGTTTAGTTTTGCAAGCTTACACCACGCTTCTGAATAGCACGAAGGACCCGTCGATACACACGTGCTTCTCAGCTCCATATATTCCGAAGCAAATCCTACTGAGGCGCTCGATCAGTGGTGTCACCTTGCCCCTCTGTCTCACCGGTTCATATATCACATTGTGTTATTGAGGAAATGGAGATTTGTATATAATGCTGAGATATTTGCGAAACTCCGGACTGCAGGTGTATGCGGTAAGGACAATAGCGCGCGTTCGTTCCCCACCGTATACACCTGCGGTCCGGAGTTTTACAAATATCTCAGCATTATATACGAGTTATATTTCGCAACATACCGTGCCATTAAGAAAAAAGACAGTAAATGAAATGGTTGAAATGGAGATTGTCAAGTTTTCCCGTATATCTGTCTTAGGGATTCAATGTGATGACATGCGAGAGCACGACTGAAACTGCAATAGTCCCTCAACTGTACTGTCCAGTAATACCAATCTTAAGGCAGAGGCCAATGAATGTTCTCATCTTGACAATACCTTTAGCTGCAACACAGTTGTTGTTGTCTGTTCATGTCGGTCAAAATCAGCCTGCAAATGTTGGCCACAAATAATTGGTGGAAGCCTATCGATCCTGCTCACCGAATAAGTCTCTCCTCAACAAACTAGTTGTCACTGAGGATTCACTGCTTGCGAGGCATCAGAATCGTTATTACGATCACTGCACTCGTCATCCAATACATTTCGTTTAGATTCTTTAGCGAGAATGGTAAGGCGTTCAACTTCGGACCCGGCACCTCCACATTTTTCACTGCTACTTTGGTTCATAAGCCGACTAGTGTTGAATACTAGTCACCTATTGACATAATGTAGCACTGTAAAATCCACCTGGATCTTCACCAATAAACTTCGTCCAACACGTTGAAAGATTTCTAGCCAGTAATGTATACAAAGACGGGCGCGTGTGGCACAGTGGTAGGAGGCGCCCCGCAAAACACATGGGATCGATTTCCGCGCATCCTACCGGGATCGGTAAATTGGTACCAGAATTGTCTGGGAGGGTAGCAGCACTGGCTCGATACATCGGCAGGCCACCTCGAGTCATTGCAGTGTATAGGCCAGATATGCATTCAATTACGTCCAAACGACGCTTAATGAAATAGAAAGCGCGGCGTATTCCTAAGGGATTGATCAACGCCGAGAGCTTTTTTATTTTAACGTATGTACGATAATGATGTGCCTCCCAATGGCGATAGGACAGGTGATATGTGTCTTAATGGCGATGAGACACTCTCTTGCACAGCTCTAATAACGTTCTAGTGAAACAATGTGTTAAGTGCTCTCTAACCCCAGGTTAATCCTCCCATGTGCTTACATTTTTCCCAATTCTAAATTTTTTGTGGTCAGGTATATCTGTATTGACGTAAAATTGGAATTCGACGTAATGCAAATAGTGATTTTCCCAGCAAATAAAGTTTAGGTTAACACACTACGGTTGCAATCAAGTATCTGCTAATCATTGCCCCCGCTGACCTAGGAGTATCCCTTCGCACCAGCAGTTCAGGTGTCTTTTATTTCTTCTTAAATCGTCGTCGCACATGTGTTACTTTTTGATACAATGCAATATCTAGGTTGATGAACTATGTAGTGTTGTATGCTATGCTTTTAGAGATTGAAGTACAGATAAGCTCAATGATGGCATCCCGATATCACATGCTTCAAAGCCGATTCTGTCTCCCACTTCTCAAAAAGTGGACGACAAAAACTAGTTCGAAGTTTTCTCAGATTACTTGTTGCGTTCTTTAAAACTCGATTTGCCTATGAAGGTGCTTGCCTATGCACTTGCTCGGTACTGGAATTCCACTAGGTAGGCGATTTAACTGCATCGATGAATGCGTAGACGGCGGACAGAATGATCTATTTGATACGACGCCAGATCTCTTTCAACAGCTTCATACAACTTTTCAAGCAACTGAATTTCCAACGCAATGCTAGCTAAACGTACTTCTCATACCATTGGAAAATTTAGCACTCCGCAAGTAAGCGCTGTGAAACCATAGCGCCATAGCGGTCTCTGCTTTGGTTTCAGCACAATCCCATTCATTCTTTCGGTGTCATCTTTCTGAAAGTGGGTAAGGCACATGTTTATTCATCGACGGACACTGGAGACCCGTTGTACGCCATAGTATCTGATCAACATGTCGACTAAGTTCGTAAATGGGACGTGAATTTCTGGGTTAAGCTTTTTAAAGTGTTCAACAGCACTCATATTGGATTGTTTGCTTTATTTTTAGACTTACTTTTTGATTGGACATTTTACTGCTTTCATTATTTTCGTTACTTTCGGGGCATACTCAATTTGTATGCAGAAAAATGATTACTTCAAAAATAGCCTTAGGCTTATCAAAAGATTTCCTAAGTTTTCGGGACACTTTGTTTCCCGTAAATTGGTCAAATTTTACTCGTCCGCTGTAAAAAGACATGATCTGACTTGAGCAGGTTCCTTACTATGGGATGGATAGCACGGTGGTAGTGAGGTCCGTCATCACGAGCATGGTGCTAGTTCTTTTCCGCTCCGGGCCAACATCTCTTTATCCCTCCGGAACCGGTAAATTGTTACCACACTTGTCTGGGAAAAAATCACTCTCTGCAATCCAACTGGGAACGCTCCAGTCCGGCTATCTCAGAACTCCAGGAAGAATTACTCGACCAGAATTCTACGATATTCAAGGTGAAACGAAAATCCTCTGGTAGCAACCGAAGCCACACGTAGAAACTTGGAAGACTTTCGTGGACGATGGATGCAAGGACACGAATTGGATGTGGTAAGTGCTGGGGTCCGCGCAGTAGACGTGAAGACGGACCATCTACGTATCCAAATATCCTCTTCTGCTGTCAACACGAGACTGGCCGAGAACGCACAGAATCTCGTGGGATAACTGAAGCAGATAGGTGTGCATAAAACACATCACTGACATTTGTGAAAGCACCTGTCTTCAACGAATAGTAAAGATCCAGTCATTTAATTGGCGAATGCAAATACTGTTTTTGGTCTACAGTACGACTGCGGACACTGGAGCCCCAAAGCAACTTTTCTCCAAGCAGTGTTCATGCCGTCACCGGATGCAGTCACCAATGTTTGTGGAATGGAGGTAGATTGACCACCATATAATTTCGTTGATACTAGCACTGAGGGGTATCCGTAGCATTGATTCACTCTCAGGGAGACTTTTAAGAGGAAATATTCAACTCTTTTCTTCTCAGAAGTTACTGGTAAGGCATGGACACTTTCCGCAAAAACGTAAGCGCCTCACAGCTCTTCACTATGGATAATCTATCTTCAAAACCTATTTAAAGATTTATTTATACAGCTTCATCTCATGGGAGATTGTGCATACCTGAGCTCTGTTTTTTCACTCCGGACATACGGTATCACCCTATTTTATAATTAACCTATGGAAATGACTACCGAAGAAGCACAACGAATGGTTGCCCTCGACAGAAAACCCAGCAAGTTTTCGTTCAACAATTCTGTCGTGCTCTCAGATTTCAAAGAGCACCGGTTATGAGTGTGTCTGGTTGGGTAGATTGCGGTCAGATTGACTTTTCCAAGCTATGAGGGCGAAATCAGCTGAAACGTTTGCTTCACTGGAATAAAGGGTAAAATAACACCTCGCGCTTACTCAGCAACAATATGAGAAATAATTCGATCAAAGCCGAGGTTAACAGAAAATTGGACATTTATAAGGATTACGGAAATCTACACTTCTCCCAAACTTTACCAAATATATCAGCATTTCAAAAAATCATTAACACTTGTGCTGAACAGTGTGCTGAAATTAATGGCTGGCCGGTTTATTTAGCTATTAAATAGCTGTGCATTCTTTTTCTGTTTACCTAATAAATCAATGAGTGGGCTGTCATTTTGAAAATGAAAAAGTAGTGCTCACAAACACGGATCAAGATGTATATACTTCTGGGAAATACATGCAATAAAAAATTAAGTCTATTAAACTGTAGATTCGTCGAAGTTCCGCTCCTTTTCAGGGGCATTTCCAGGGTGCGCACATGGGAGAGAATGTAACATTCCGACCGAGTTCATTTAGTGAATCAACCTCAGCGCTCTTGAGTGATATAGCTGCTACCTAAACATCTACAACTAAAAATAAAGAAAAGTGGAAAACAATACACTACTCTATACGGCAACAAGATTACTTTTAAAAATGAATAAAGACTCACTTTGGCGAGATTATCCCGAATTCAAGTTGAGTTAGTGGACTTAGGAGTAATTCCCACACCAGAACACAAGGTAAATGCGTACAAAATCGTCTGTGAAAAATATATCCACAAATATGTGACTCGGTCAGTACTCAGGAGACATACAAAAAGTTAGTAAATAAGCACCTGCGGAGTGGCATTATATTTCTTCGCCAGCTGCGCTACATTAGGCTCATTTAAGATTTCTTTGTTACCCCACAACAGTGAAGAAAAGGCCTAAACTAGAAGACGATGCAGTAACTGAAATATGGACTACGATTGGATTCTTATAAGTTGTAACTTACTGATCCATATGGCTATTCATTTAAATATATACCAACTTGAACACATGGATAGACCGTTCTCACTGGTTGTGCGGCCCCAGTATAATTGCCACTTTTTTCGGAGTTTTTCTTATTTAGCCATTGTGGTTCCCTGGAGTACCGAGGTCAGCTATGCCTCGAGTCGTCACCAAAGGCAGTCGTCGGCTTTGCGCAGCTGCCGGTTGAACAACATTTGCCACCATGCGACTAGTTTGATATCAGGACGGTGATGGTTCCTGATATTAGTTTGCGCTAAGCTGGGCTTCCTGAGAGAAACGCCAGGCTCCTTCCCATCGTCGGAGACCCTGCTGGAGGGATGAATCTTCCCACTGTGCATCGCAGCCCGACGCCGAGGAACACTTCCCAAACACGGCGAGGCGGTAAACAGTTGGTTATATATATACATAACATATTGTATATAATACACATACATATATATGTATATATATAATCAGCCGTTTCGTTCGAACACTTAGGCGGCCAATTCAGACTCTCTGTACTGTTCCAGTGAACCACAAGTCGCCTTTTTTCTCACTCCATATAAAATGTAGTTGCCTTCTTTTCATTGGCATTGAGTAATTCGGCTAATACAAAGATACTGATACTTGCACGATCGAGCAAATTCAAGTTCTGTACTGAAAAGTGGTGATCTCCGTGTTCATTGAACGAGTGAAGGGGGCACAAGTATGGCACACCAACTTTTTCACCGATGGAAGCTCTGGTTGCTGCTTGCGCCCAGTTCCAAAATCGAAGGGTACACGTCTTTACCGGTGCCCACTCGACTAACTGGATGGTTAAGGATATTAAAAAGTTATACAACTAACAACACATACCTGCACGAAAATTCCATTCATAACACAGTACTTAACCAACGTTTGCCGAGTAAAATACGGATGAAATTCAATCTGATTTACCACAGGCGGATACTGGAAAATCATATCTCCAAAAGTTCACAACAATGAAGCAAACTTATTCCTCAAGAAGATTTCAACCTTTGCGAAGCTGAGAAGTTCCACCAGATGATAGACTTCATAATTCGACACTCCAATTGATTTCACAGCACCACGCTCTCAAAAACTAACTTATCAGCAAATGGACATTTGTCCATGACGATAAAAGTGTACGAAAACCTTTAAGCTCTTCCAGTTTCTTCCAGACTTCCTTCCTGCCTTCCCTATTGATTTCATAAGCATGGTCAACACCTGTACAGCGATCCCTTGGAAAGTGCACCAGTACTAAATCGAGGTACCTGAATGCTATGTTTTCGTAAAATCCTCATACACATTAATTGGTAGTCAAAGTACTCAATTTGACGAAAGCGTGTAGACCTCACGTTGTTCTCAGCTTCTCCAACGAACCCAAAACACTTTTCTCCGCCCAATTCGCAGCGTCTCCGTCTTTTGTTTGCACTTTTGTGGTTATGAAAACATCTTCTCGCTTCAGCCCCAACTTCGGTAGGCTTGACTAAAAGAAAGCCACCTTGGAAGCACAGAACAAGAACACAAAGCGTAACAGTTTCCCATCGATGCACTTCATTGCTCGATACCTCCAATGCAGCTCCAAGTTCTGCTTCATTATTGTACAACTCGGCAGTATCAAAAAGCCTATAACCCGACTCTAAAGCAGCCTGTACAGCGGTGCCCACATTTTTCTGAGATAACAACAGAATTCTTTTCGAAAAAAAAAACGCAAATAAGCGAACAAGAAGAAAGGTCGAAGGGTTATGATAGCAATACTTACTTGACCAACAATTCTAGAAATACCTAGACCAATCATTGGTATCCTATTCCCATCGCTGAGCAGCTTCGTACCACCAAGTACTTCACCAGAATTTAGAGACATTCGTATTCGTCCTTCCTGGAGAGTACAACTATTGCCTGTTCAAATCACTACTTGTATTCTTTCAACGTCTATTTCTTTAAGATATCACAGCTTGGAAGATAAGGGAGCCGGAGAGTGTACACACAGGTTCACATGTTTGTTTCGATGTAAAACAAATGCAGAACCATAGAACCTGTTCGGAGTTTGTGGCGATGAGCAATAACAGAACGAGTGGTACAAGCACAATGCATGGAAACCAATACTAAGAGAGCGGTTATGACAGTCTGGATAACGCCTTCAACAGAATTTTGACAGAACCATAGTTGCAGCTATTTATTGAAAGACCTATACGAAAGCAAAGAATAAATAAATAAAACGAAATAGAACAAGAGCGTAACAATAGTCAGATTAGAGCGGGGCTATCTACGCTTTTACCACACCTGTTTCTTGACACAACTTCGGAATTCTATACCATCGTCATGGCTCATGCTAATCCTACGTAATGTGCAGGTCTTAAAAACGTATATATATGCCGGAAAAGGCTTAGACCACCTATTACGTTACCGAAGTCCTGAGTCAAGTACTAACAAAAACCATCTCACCGATGAAAAATTAACGATAACCTCGTAAAACAATGAGTAGAAATGCTGACTTATACATAAATAACAGTACAAATGTCGTGAATGAATTGGCTCTTCTAGTGGTAGCATGAGCGAAGCAGAATTGCAAATGCACTTAATACATATACTTATAACTTTAACACAAAAGCCAACTCAGGATATGTGGATTGACAGATCATGTGACGTAAAAAAAAAAGACGAAAAACGACGACATCAACATAACTAGGAAGGAGTTTTCATCAAAGCACTACGGAAACCAGAACAGCATGAATCCCAAATTGTCTTCACCTATCACCAACCTGAAATAAAAACACAAGTGCACAAATGGCCACCAAAAAGATGGCATCTGTAGAGAAAATAAGGGAGTGCTACCTCGATACTGCGGTCCCAGAGAGTTGAAAATGGCGTTAAAAGTATGCGGAGGCAAATGCTAACAACGATAACAAGGAAAGTCACCAGAAGTGAAACGAATCCGACCATCCACGGTTGGTCATCGAACACCGCCGCAACATAACCGGACACTAATCTGCCACACTGAAAAATGCATGTTAAAAAATGAAACCGGTTTTCTCATTTGTCTTCACGGATCCTGTGCTGGTCTCACAATCCCTCTGGTGATCACAGAACACAGAATCATGTGGATGACTCTATATCTTCATTCGTACCTACCTTGTTCTATTCTATTTTGGCGTAGAGAATAGCGCAGCAGGTGGAGATGCGATGTTGTACAACATGCAACATGGTCAATGGTTCGTACATATTACAGGCCAACTAAACTCCCCATTCTTCTGGAGTCTGGAAACTAACAGCAGATCTGATTGGAAAAGACCTCTCTTCTGACTACTTGGGGAAGGGAGGGTGTGCTCATGACCACGAAGCGTACTAAAAAAGCTCTATCATGATTTTAAGGAGGATCTACTCGATCAGCATCAAACAACATTGATTAGGAAGTCCATCCCAAGCATCATTTGATGCTACGAGTAGAGACCAAAACCTTAATGGATCACAGAGGTGCGAAAATGCCATTAAAATAGTAGAAGAAAAGCATTGATTTTGTGACCTCTGAGGACTAAAGCATCTCAGACACCACTAAGAGCAAAAGAAGCCAAAGTGCGGAAAAATCCAATACACTTACCAGACGAGATACAGTCACTATTATCTTTTCGACAAGATGGGCCATAACGTAAATGGGATTCAACCGCCATATCGGACCAAACCAGTTTATATTCCCTCTATCACAAGACGTATAGAAGAAAGTGTTCCACAGTGAACACGAACCTGACATTGAAGGTTTAGGGAGAGAGGAATTCGCACAACTATGTGTGCCAAATTAACGCACGCGAAGTTGCCATGTATGCAGAAGAAAAAGAGCAAAACAGACCCGAACGCTCAAAGGAGTCAATATTCATGCAGAGGTGAAGAAGTTCGAACAATAACGAGCTGAAAAAACCTATAGAACAGTTCCTTTTGGGGGTGTTTGATTTGAAAACGGCTTTCATTTACCTTGACAGCAAAAGCGAAACACAAACAGCAACAGGTTGGCCGTGTTGAGGATATCGTTTTAGCATGAGGAAAACAATAAGGCGAAAAATGACCAATAGGAAATAGCACCAGACGGTCAGGAATACGAAAATCTGCAGGAAATTGAAGACGAACAGACATATGAAGAAAAGTGACATTGCAAGCACAATCGCAAGATGTCCAGCTTGCAAGTTACCAGTTAGATAGTTTGAGCACTTACTTAGTTGAATCAAACATCCACAAAACCAATAAGAATGAATTACACGCACCCATTGGCCACAGCTTAAACCCTCCAGCGTTCTCGCGTAATTTATTGCGCCTCCAGTGTGCATACACAGACCACATGCTATCTGAATCATAGTGACGGCATCTTGCTGCTGCGGTGTTGTTACCGATTATGTCCTCGCGGGTAGGCCATTACTAGTTTTTCAGATGTAGTAATTGGCCAGCGAGATGTTCGTTTTTCCTGAGATATCCAAAGCCTTCACAATACACATTCTTGGCCATTTCTCCGACGTTTCCGTTCACCGTTAGCATATTTATGACCGTACGTGACTTCGATAAATGTGGTGCAATCTAAGGATCAGTACCACTGATACGACGACGAAGACATCACGTAGAGAAGACGAGCGACTGTGGACATCGACTCGGATCATCGGCTCCGAGGAAGACGAAGACGTCGAAACGTTAAAGGATAAGAAGATAAAGCTCTCGGCGCCGATCAATCTTTGAGGGATGTGCCATGCATTCGACTTCACTAAGCATCGTTAGAGGCGATTGAATACATATGTGGTCTATAGAATGACTCGTGGTGGCCTACCGATGTATTGAACCAGTATTGCTATCTTCCCGACAAGTCTGATACCAATTTCTCGACCCCGGAATGATGGCTCGGTGAGTCTTGGGCGCGGTGATCGATCCTATGCGTATCGCATGGCGCCTCCGACCACTGCGCTACACGCGCCTTGTCGAAACGTTAGCCAAATAAATATTGGTAACAGCCTCGCGTTAGCTTATCTATGATACAGAGTACTAAGTACCAGTCTCAAAATCTGGCTAGTTTCTCACTAGACGTGTTTTGATAACAGAATATGGTTTTGAACGACAGCAAGTCAAGTGCCCTCAGTGCATGCGCTCCTGTTCATTCGTCCAAATTTTCTCTGTAATCGGCTGCCCATCCGCTCGATGACAAGCCTCTATAGAGAAAGCGTTCAACAGCATTGAAGCGAACGCAGTGATTCCCGTTGACCCACCGATTGGGTCTGTCTTATATGGGGCTCTCGCTGATTGTTATCGTGACTGCTCAACAAGAAATCAGCTTTTCCATTGACCGGTTACCACGTGCACAGTGAAAATGCTCGAACATGGCGACATTATATCGCCAAAACTGCTTACTACCTCATTGGAGTGGATAGTAATGAAGTCAGTGGATTGGCACGAGAGTGATGCGCGCATAGATGAATTGATTCCTGTCAAGTCTTCGCCTTCATCTTTTCGTTACCAGTAATTCAAATATACTAAGTTCTGAGTACGGATCCCTTTCAGATGACTGAAGGCATATGGCAGTACCCCTATAATTGATCTATCCAATATTAACGAGGAAATAAAAAATGGATAAAGCTCTCGGCGTTAATCAATCCCTGAGGGATACGCCATGCATTCGATTTCATTAAGCATCGTCTGGAGGTGATCGAATGCATATCTGGCCTTTGTATTGAATCACGGTGGCCTACTCGAGTCAGTGCTGCTATCCTCCCAGACATATATGGTACCAATTTGCCGGCCTCGGGGTGATGAAAGGCTTGGTTAGCCACGCCTGCCGGGATCGATTTCATGTGTGCGTGTTGCAGGGCTCCTCCGACCACTGCGCCACACGCGCTCCTTAAAGAGAGAATAGGAGAATTTTTTACGCAAATTGTTCTCGCCATTGATGGCACAAGAGAATCATTTTTATCGGAATTTTTTCAAATTCTCAAGTAGAATTACATATACTATGTTTTGCTAGTATACACACGTTTGACGAACAGGAAAGACAACATTGCTCCAGCATAGGTGTTAAAACTTAGAAGAATAAGTTAGAGTCTGCTGGAAGTGCTGCTGCCCATTGGGTTTGCAGTCAACTATGAATGTTCTTTTCTAGTTAACTCATTAGTTTCCTTGGTTATCGTATTGAACAATAAAACATTGGCCCAAACTCATATCTACGGCCTATTCTTTTTTCATGGCAGAGTACGATGTGATGTACAACCTCAGGGATGTTGAGATATGAGCAAAACTCTAGACCTCCGTTGTGCTTCGAACCTGCAACTTCCCATACCGAGGACTCATGCGATATCCATCCCACCAACCGAACCTCTTGCCTTGTCCACCTCCCGAACATGTTTTTTTTACCCTGTCCGCTTTATCACCTGTCGTCCGTCAGGGAGAGTAATCTGGAAAACACAAACCGATATGGAAACCAGTGAAACGAAGCTGTAGTCGAAATCACAATGTCTTAACTTCTATTTACTGTGCATTCTTTTTTATCTACACCAGCTTAACTCAGTTCAATACCGATTTGTGCTTCCCAGATCGTTCCTGTTCATGAGTAATTGTTGATTAGGATAAAAAATTGGCTGAGAGAGATATAAGTAAAGGACCCCGGTTGATGCAGTAGGTAACACGTGCGTCCTCTTAAAGAGTAATAACGGGATGCCAATTTGGACTGACGTTCCAGATTTTGGAAATATCTCAGCATCATTATCTTAAAAACCGTAAGTGGTCTGAGGAGCACACGTCGGTATTGCACGCTTAAGTCGAAGCTGCAGTAGAATCACAACGTCTTGAACCTTATTGACTGCCCATTCAATGCCCCAGACCATTGTCGTTAAGGGTGATGGC